GGCAGTTTTGATTGAGTTATGATTTTTTTGATGAAAGCCTAGTAACTGTCTTTAAATGTGTCAGAGATAATCCATAATATGCAGCAAAGCGCTTTTGTAATGTAAAAGCAACAGATATGTGATTTTTAGATTTCTCACAGTTATTTGCGGCAACAATTAATTGCCTGAAACAGACTGCATGCAACTGCCAAGTTGACTTCATTTAATCGCAGACTGATATCAGACTGACTCTGTCTTATGGCAACATTTATGGCAGGTTTTAGGGACAGTGCTGGTATGATCAAGTGAGATAGGTTTATCCTTTTGGATAAAACCTATACTGACAAAGTTTAATCCGCAATAAATCACAATTTATGTCATTCCGGCACGTCGCAAAATGCTAAAAATCGCAATAATATTATTTGCTCTTGAGTGTTCTCCATGCGCCCTTTCATGATCTCTCAGCGCCACTGGCTATTCAGTGTTTAGATTACTTAAGGTCTAAGCTTTCCTCTTCTGCTTTGTTGTGGGCCTTTTTAGACGTATATTTTGATGTATTTATTTATTTAGTACCAACTTACAAGGTGGTGACAGTTCATTTATTTAGCAGTTAACACCTCAGTTGGAACACCCCCCTCCCCCTCCAGCCGTCCGCTCATTGGAAGAGCGCACAGCTCCTAATGCCATCATCGATATTAGGAGGGGGAACAGCAAGAGCCCAGAGGGGCGGGAAATCGGCCATTTACGTTATGTTAATGGGAGTGGTGATAGAGGGAGATAAGGTCCCACTGGGGGATGTTGGTCCCCTCGGCTCGGGCGATCAACACGCTGCAGCTGCGAGGCTGTGAGCTGGTGGCGAGGGAAGGGTGTTGAAAAGAAGGGAGACCTTGTTTGAGTCTGTGTTTGCAGGAGTAGCTGTTAATTGGCATTTGGGGTTTCAACAATAGAGCACTAATTAGGAAAAGCGGGCGCAAAGTCTCATGTCTAATGCATAGGAATCTGTCTCCATATGGCCGGATAAATGGCCTGGAAAGTTACAGAGGGCAGCTAATGAGGAACAACTGCAAATCAAATTGGGCCTCAACTGGTTCCTTCCAGTATGGCTGAGAAAAGAACTTTACTGAAGGAATACATTTATAAAAAATCATAAGCATTTGTATAATTAATAATCAGAAGCCTAATTAACTCAAACATGAGCACCCACTGCCCTACATATACAAAACACAGAGTCACAGTAAGAGAAGCTGCCTCTTATTTACATCACTGCAGAGCCCAAACAATTTTGAGCTTGTAGCAGGAGCTTTTAATACCTCTGACAGTTACAAAACATCCCAATCGATCGTATTTGTATGCACTGCGGTCAAACTATATGTGATCTTTTGTGGTGTGTTCTGCTCTCGTTTGAATGAGCCTACTGTAGCGTGCTCTGCTAGCCGTGCCAATGACTTGGCTCATTGTCA